ATACAGGGAAGGCTAAAATTAATTTTTTATCTCCAGCACTAATATCTATAGCTCACTTGTTTACAAGAAAAAGGACATGTTCATCATGTATTTCTCTTTTATCTTACCCTCTACCCAACTTAAAAGGTTAAAAAAAGAGCAGAAAAAGCACAAACACACCCACAATTACATTAGCAGAACTTATTTTTAGCTCTTTGTTAGTAGAGTTCACTTAAAAGGTTACAAATCATTTTTGTATATTGCACAAAGATTACAAGAATTCAGCTACTAATGGATTTTTACAGTAGAACATGAGTATAGAACATTTCTGGAAATACAGTGTGTTCATACTGTTCAATGTAAGATGTGTGGACACACAAATATTTAACAGAGTGTATTAAGAATACATATAACCATCTAATATAGGAGAATATATAGGTAACTGACTTGCACTTCATGAGAAGGTACTTGGTCCCTCTCCACTCATTGCACATCCCCTTCACAAGGTGTTTGTGCTACATCTGCCTTGAAAGCATCATAAGCTTTGTCGGTGCCACTGTTTTTACATGCTCTTGCCCTTTCTTGCTGTTGTTAGGCTTCTGTTTGCAACTAAAGGCTGTTACTTCCTGTCTTGGGTTGAAAGACAGGTGTTTTGCCAATAAAGGCAGGGACCCCCCTTGGAGTGGTGGATATGACCTCCCTTCCCGCCGAATAATTATAGCTTTGAAAAATCACGGGCTTTCAGGCAAGAATATGGGAAAAAGGGAATAACAGTTTTTACTAATATGTATAATTAAGTGAAATAAGTAATAACAACAATAGCAACAACCAGCCTAGCCACAAACCCAATGACAGCCTCACACRGAGATACTCACCTGATTCCCCRGTGACTGCAGGAGCGCTGTGGYGYAGGTCCCGGCTGGTTCAGATCTCCCAGTGCCCAAGGACGGGCACAAAACCGGCAGAGATGGACAGAGAAAAAGTTCCTCTGCAAACTCACAGCGGATATGCCGATCTCAGTGCTCCTCTAACCTCCGCAGCACGAATCTCGGGGGTCCCAGGCAAGGCACCGGGGCAGAAGATCACAGTGCAGAAAAACAGGAACCAAAGAGCAGTCGAGCTCTGCTCCACAGGTAGCAGGCCAACCTCCCTCTGAGCCAAGCAGGGCAGTATATATAGTTACCCGCCACCACCACACCCACACACACCCCCTCCCAGTACTTAACAAGGTCGTTTGGGTGGGGTGTAGGTCCTATTGTCTTTACTAATCACCCTGCCATCAAAAGGATGACCTGGCAATCAGTGTCATCAAAAGGATGACCTGGCAATCCCAGCAACAAAATGGGAAAGAAAAATTCCCCAAGAGAGGAAACAAAAGGCCAACCCTTAACCCACAACGCTTTCATCTGCTCTGGGCAAAAAATGTAGCTGTGAAAGACTCTCACTGTCCCGTTGCAGCATGCCACAGGAATGTTTCTCCACAACAACGGTAGCTGTCAATGCTGGATTTTAGGGTGCCATTCTTTTAAGTCCTGTCATTTAAGAGTTAGTCTAATAAACTAAAAGTCGATCTACTGCTTCAGTTCAGGGTGAATAACTTGAGAGAGTGGTTAATTTAATTTCTTTAAAATAAGTGTGTACTTACACTTCCAAATATATTGTAAACCCTTTAATGTAGGGCTTCATTTTTTTCTTGACCTTGATATCAAACCCATGGTTCAGGTGCACTAGAGGGAAAATCCTGTATTAATAATCMCTGATGGTCCACGTCAGGGGACCTGTCAGAGGACATCACTACCCACTCCTTTCTCAGGTATCTAAGTCTTGTGTGGAAAAGAGTTCCAGGGAGGAAAAACAGCACTAACAATTGTCTTTTCCACCCAAGCCAGGGTGGAGTCAGAGTGGATGTCTGAATCCTGATGTTATTTGATCTATGACACATTATAACAAATAAACGTTCTCTCTAYTTGTTATGTAAGAGTGATGTCATTTTTTGAGCTGTCAGACTCAGTCTGTGAATCTGTATCTTTACAAAACAAGTCACAAAACCCAGAATGGGAARGATGTTAATAGGACTGTATTCAAAGGTCTTTAGCAGCCATTTCTGTCTCTTTCCTGTATTTTTATACTAACCTTTTGAAATTTTATTATGTTTTCATGCTTTTCTTGCATTTATTGCCAAAGAACATTTACATATTATTATTAAGCTGTTTAGGTGTCTGTGGCTGCTCTTCTCATGATTCTTCCAATTTTTAAAATGTTAATACCTTTGTTTAAGAAAAAAAGGAACATGCACAAAAATTTGTAGACATAGCAAGCTTCAGAAAAACTGTTTGTRTTTCTGAGTTCTCAGATTTAATTGTCTGTTCCTTTAATGTCAACTGAACACTTAATACTGATGAGAAGACAGCTGGCTGCTCAGACGTGGATGTACAACATCTGCTGGCTGCTGTATGAGCATGAGACTTGGAACAGCTTCCACTCAGTGTGCACCTGACTTTTTTGAAAATGATCCAGTTTTTGTGTTTGTGAACTGATTTGATGCCTTTATTCATCATAGAGCATCTCCTCATCCCTTCTGTATCCATCCTTGAATGTGTGCCACACCATCTGAAAATAAAAGATTGAATTGGAAGGATGACACTTGTTTTTCAGCTTTTGCACAGTTCTCCCAATCTTTCCTTTATTTAAAACAAAAAAATAAATGGGTTTTGGAGTGCCTGAAAGTCTGTGCCACTCTTTGTCTCCCTAGCCACAGGTGGCAGAATAAGACAAGGAAACACCCAATTTGTTCACAAGGTTAGAGCTACGGGCAAGTGGATGCTAAAGAATCCATAATGATGAAGGGTCTGGTTCTGTGGCACCTGAACTGTGAGGTCTGATTTCTTTAATGAAGAAACAGGTAAAGCTTGTGTCTAGGAAGAGTGTCTGAGAGATTAATTAAAACACCAGCGATATAATCCATTGCAATGAAGAAATTTGAAGAGCRTCTGGGTCCCTGAATGTAGCTGGGTAAGCCTCCAGAAGGAGAAATTTTCCTGGGGCTGTAGCCTCCTGCACTCAGAATGTTTCTCATGCTGCTGGCAGCTTTCAGCAGAGTACCACAAGGTGGGTTGCAAATATTGAATATGTACATATGTAGATGTTGGCTTTCTAATGCTGAGAATGCTTTCTTTTCAACACACAACACACACATGTCGTTCTACACAAGTGTGAATTTGTCCATACAGTTTGCTAAAACTATGCTTTACTTTAAAGGAGTAAATGGGGAGATGGGAATTTTATTCACCATCAGCACAAAAGTAAGAGGGGATGTATTTCATTGCCTCTTGCCATTTCATGTGAGGCATTTACTCAGGGCAGGACCTGCTAAATATACACACCTGTCTAATCTCCATACAAACCTGTATAATGTCAAGGGCAAACTGATTTCCAGGGTGGGATGGGGAGGTCTTGATGTACTCAGTCTCAAGCTTGCAGACACAAATTTGGGAACAGAAGTTCTCTTAGGACATGCATTCCCAGGCAGCTGGGCGTATATATTGCCAACAGCATGACCTCATTCCAAATTCCTCTAGTTCTGTTTGCTGCCACAACACTTGGTCATGTTGGTCATTATTATTGGCTGCAGATGGTGCCTCATGAATGCCYCCACACATGTTGAAGTTATCTCCCTTGAGTGAGGGTGAGGGGAGCTTACTGTGATGGGTACATGGTGTTATGAGAGTCCAGGGTTTGGGGTCTTGCACAGAACCTGTAGGTATCATTGCTGCAGAAATAATGCTTTTTGCTTACTTTGTCAAGATACGAGAGGATTTAGGCTGTAAGCATTTCAGCAGGTGCCTGCTCCTTCCCTTTGACAGGGAGAACAAAATTTCTTCTTTTGGCTGCTCTATTGCAGTTCATAGGTCAGGACAGCAAACCAACTTCTAAACTCTGAACTGGAATACYTAAAGTATGTGCTTGATTACACTGGTACACTTCTGGGTGTGTGTGGATAGATTTGAAATTTGTTTTTGCACCTGTAGTAACTTTTTCAGGTCTCTTCTACACAAATGGGAGAAAATATGGGCACATCAATTTCCATCTTTTATTGCAGATAGAATCAGATTTGAGCTTATGCCACCAGTTGTGAAAAGGCTAGGGTGTATTTTCATGTGAGCGTATTTAAATCCTCTTGGTGTGCGTTGTCTTTGAAAGGGAAGGATAGAACCAGTTAGTTTTAAATTAAGTGTTTGAAGGAAAAGTATTTAGCCTTAGATTACATTATAGACTCTTTTTATAACCAATGAACAGGAAAATGTACCATCAAAGTTGATATGTGTCATCCTAAAATGAGTGCCTTTGAAAAGTTAAGCAAGTATGAGAGGCGATTTCTCTGTTTTCCTTCCATTATACTTAAAGAGAGCCTGGGGTGCTAGCTCTGACTGCTGCGGATGGCTGTGSATTGGTGGCAATATTTCAATGTTTATGGAACCTGGCCATCCCTCTTCACAGGTGGCAGAAGTGGAACACAACTATGATGGCTCTATCACAGCTGTGATAAGAATAAGAAACAGAAGGACCTGGGATCACAGACATTTACAGTGACCATCTGGACTCCATGGCTCTCCTCCAGAAGCGATGAAGAGTGGAACAGCTGACTTGATAATAAATATCTACAAGTGTTCATCTCTCATTTATTATGCCACACTGAGATGAAACCCTAACCCTGACTCTAACTCTAGCCCTAGGAGTACAGGTTAAGTTATATTTTATTTTCCATTGTCCTGAAGAACAGAAATATTGCTTACACTGATATCATGCTAGAGAAATTCCAAAGAAATACCAACCAAGTACCAACCAGAATAATAATTAACAAACTCATTGAGAATGACAAAATGCTGAGAGGCTTACAATTTAAGAGCAAACTACCAGCTTTCACTAAGATAAATTCTAACTAATTTTGTGTCTTTTTATGTGAGGTTTTCTCTTTTTTGGCAGCAAATTAATAAAGGGAGAAAGAAAAGAGGGCAAATAATTTACTGGCTGATCTTCCACACAACAGGCCGTAAAAGAAACTTGAAAACCACAGGGTTGCAGGAGCTGTTCTATCATTAATCAAAACCTGCAAGAGAAAGGAAGCAAAGGATGATAAAATCAGTTTCAAATGAGATTAAATTTGATTGTGCAAGTAAATACTTCATGTAAAATTTGCTTGAGTAAAATTTGCTTCATGTAAAATTTGCTATCATCAGAGTTAAAAACAGAATTTGCCAATWATTATGAAAAGTGTGTATAACTTTTGAATAATTAGCAAGCTATTACAGAGCTAAAAAATTATTTAGAGTTTAACACTTACTTTCATCAAACTTCATTCCACTCAGCTATGCTGCAAAACCTTCCTACAGTATTTATTCAGGTGTCTCATGGAGTTAAAGAAGGATTCCATTTCTTCATCCAAATCCCTGGAATATATCCATTTGCTAGGTTTGAAGTTTTGCATTTTTTGGTCCACAGAGTAGGATGAGAGTGCAGCTGGTCACAGTTGCTCATGCTTTATACCTCTCAATATATTAGAGCCTGGCAAAAAGCCGTGAGCGTGCCATCACAAGCATGTTGTCTTGAACATTTGGCCAGTGGCAAAATAGAAACCCTAATGCCCCAACAGTTGCACTGACCAGGTGTCCTCCGAGGTCGGCTGGGGACACAGATGCTTTTTTTTACACTTTCTAGGAAGCATCCGGATGCAATTGAGGTAGCTAAGAAAAATAATCTCTTGTTCATTCCTTGGAAAGCTGAGGTAGTGTGGAAGAAATGCTTTGGATTTTCCAGAACACATTCCTAAAATGGTTTGGCGAAGAAGAAGCATGTTTGACAAGGGAAACGGGGACAACACAGTATCTCAATTTTGGAGCAGTGGGGTGAGTGGAGGAAGTCCTGCCCTGTGAAAATTGCCCTGTGGAAATTACCCTGTGGAAATTATAAAGGCTGGCTTTTTGCTGCCTTCTGTGCTTTGTGGCACCACAAAGGTGTCACACAACAGAAGCCACAGGGTCTGTCACTGGTAATGTCACCACCACCTGTGGAGCCAGTTTCATTTACCTGCCCTTTGTTTCCCAGCTGGCTACTGATATTGCATGAAGAAGGTCTCAGTGGGACCAGTTTCTGGTAGAAGCATTTCCTTGCTTACAAGGATGAGAAAAAAGGCTGTAACTCAGTCTGATACTTTCTTAACCTCATTTGAGTCCTGCTGAAGACACGGTCTTAATCTTACCTGTTCTTTTCACACATTCTTGTCCTTCAGCCTTTGGAACATGGAGGCTTTTTGGACAAGAATTGTTTCTGTAGCTGCGGGAGCAGTGGCTAACCAAGTAATGTGCTCCAGAGCCAYGGTCAGCATCACTGACACATCCATTAATGCCTGAGAAATGCATACAAATAAAATTTGTGAAATATCACAGTCATTAGTGTGCATCCAGTGCCTCTTAGATTGTCAAATAAACTGCTGAAGATTACAGAATTTGTTATTCTCTTTATTGTAGGCATAAACCAAGGGATGGATATAGTGAAGAAATATGAATAAAGTCACTCCTAAGGTTTTGGCCAGGATGGCATATTCCCAACGAGCTATTGAAGACTTTGCAACATCCTTTTTTTTTTTTTTTTTTTTTTTTGTAATACCTCCAGGTAAAAATGCCAACCGAATGAATCAAAATTAAGAGTGTTCAGCAGAGCAGGAAAGACTGCAGTGTGCTGCTCCTGAGAAAATTAATAGAGACATTCTGGAACCCTGGCTCCATCGCATGAACAAGTCTGTAACCTCAGCTATCAAAAGTTTATTATGTGTGTAGCTTTGGGGGATTTAACAAACCATTTCAAATACTGGAGATTACAAGAAAAAAGAAAAATAAATTAAATATGTTCATTACAGTATCATTACTTCATTTTGCCTTCAGAAGCTAGCACATGTGATTTAGCTGAACAGACATGGAACAATTTATTTTGATCAGTATGAAATACAACGTATTTTACCCTGCTCCTCTTACTCTTTCCATGGCTCAGGTTGCATGGGGTTTGATTAATGTACATGCTTTACACAGGGCAATCCTTACTTTTATAGCCCCTCTCACAGCTATATAAAAAAGGCAGTATCTACCCTGGATGAGAACTCCCTTGTGTTAGAGAAAACACACACATATGCATTTTCTCTTTCTCTGAATTTTGTTCTATGGTTTTAAATGAAATAACTTTGAAGCTCATAATTTTTGCTTTACAATGAACATAGTATTGGTCCAAGAAGTGAGTAAACCTAGAAATGAATAATCAGCCAGAAACTATTACAGAATACCACCCTGACATCTACAGGCTTGGCCTTATGKGATGCACTTTCACATGTAAAAAAACCACAACTAGTAATTGAAGACAACAAACATCTTATTGGCTCTACCAAGAACATTTGATGTATTAATCTCATTTTAAGTACCCAAGTAAAACCTGTTACTCTCAATGTTCTATATTTTTGTGACTGGAGTGTGTGCATTTAATTGGTAAATGAAATTGAAACCAATGCAATATTTTTGTGGTAATATTTATACCACTGATAAAATTCAGCCTGCCTGCATGCTGAAAAAGTTTAATCATCCCTTTTCAATATGGACAAAAGTAGATTTTTTTTTTCTTTTTTACAAAAAAAGGTCGGGCAAAATTTAATTTCTTCAATGTGGCTTTTATTCTCATATCAATATAAGCCTACAGGCTTCAAAGTGCTCCATATAAAAGTTATTTAACTTCAGAAGACCTGTCTAGTAATTTCTATTGGTGTGCAAGAGCTGTTGCTTTGGAACTGTTTGGGTTCTATCAACATTTACAATACTGCAGGTGTTTTTAGACACTGGCTCCTTGAAAATGCAGCAACTTCCAGCTTTTTGCTTCACTGCCTTATTTCTAATGGGTTGCAACACTACACTGTGCCTGACCAAGAATCTGCTTTCTCTGTGCAATTTTCTGATTTTGGCTGTGGTCTGCATTTCAAGGCAGCAGAAGTAAAAGAGGTTATTCTTTTTAACTATCGCACTGACATAAGGGCATCACTTATGATAAATTGAAAACAAGGTGGTTCACCTATTGCAAAAGTGTTTCTGACTGTCTGTGTCAGCGCTGCTTCTGTGCCCAGGGCTGGCAGCAGCTGCTCCTCAGAGCTCTTAATAGCCATGGAGAGATTCTTATTCACCATGAGCAACCACTGAAGACTTATTTAAAAATGGGGGAGGAAACCCAAAATAACCCCAAGATCTCAGCACCACAATTTGCATCAATGGAAATCCTCAGTTTGATTTTGACCCACAGCTGCTCTTTCTTTTCTTTACTGCAACCTTTGCTATTCAAGGTGTCTACCCAGACTGGGACACCTTGGACACTAGGATATTTAGATTACAACAAAATCAGAGGGGGTTTTATACTTTCTTACCATATGAGTGGCTGTATTTTTTCACACTACCAGAGTGCTTAATCCAGTCAGAAGATGATTCCTGAGATATGTGAGGAGACAATGAATAGACATTTTGTTACTATAGATAAACCAACACAGTGTAGAAATAGAAATAATGATTTTGGAAGTGGGGGATACTGAGGTGAAAAATGTTGTTTGACGGCTGACAAAGTAACTGGAAGCTGACTTGACAACCTTCAGTCCTGACAGCCTAATCCAGTACACCCCCTCAGTCCCACGGGCTGAATATAAGGGTAAATTCTTCTCTCAAAGCCACAGAAACACCATCAGGTTTTGCCACTCACTCAAGGTGAAAGCCTCTTGATTCTTGTGACCAAGGCAGTATCCATCTGCTAGGACACCGCTCTGGAGCCTCCAAGGTTTTCATTCTGCTCTGGCCACTGTGCACAACTCAGGMACCAGAAAAGGGCTTCAGCACATCTTGGAGACGGCCAGCAGAGAAAACTTCCTCCACACAAAGGGGCTCTTTGTTGGCATTAGGTGTGCAGAGCTGATGCTGCTCTCCTGGGGTTCACCAGCACCAGGAGAAAAGGGCAGRCTGGAGAAGAAGGACTGACAGAGGTCTGTGTCTGTTTTCTAGACTGTCCCAGAATGGGCAGCCCTGGCAGCCTGCACACAGAGCCACCGCACCGAGACTGTCACCTGCTGCTGCTGAGGGACAGCAGAGTTTCTACACGTGTGTAAGCACAGGAGCAAAAAATACACAGCAGCAGCACCCACAGCACTGTCAGCTGGTAACACACAGCCTGAAAATTATCTAGCAGGAAACAGCAGGACAGGTTTTGTTCAAAACAGGCTTCAGCAAGGTATATGCATGCATAGGAGGGAGCAGAGGGATATGCTGAGCCAGCATGATTATGAGAGTGGAAGGATAATAACATGCACTTTAAAGGAGGTTATTTGCTTTCATGTCTTAAGGAATGCTGTCAGTCTCTATGCTCATCAGAAACAGACAGCAAATATGTTTTTAGAAAGTGAGTATGATCTTAACAGCATCTGACTGCACATGTGAACATTTTCTGAATACAATGATATTTCTATTGCTTCTTTATATAAAGCATCATTGGGAAGAGTATTATATGACAGAGTATTTACTGTAAAAGCAGGACAGAAAAAAATGACTGATGGAGGAAACTCCTCTTATTTCAGCACTGGAAACATGGAGCTGGCTGTTTGCATGGGAAAGCTAAGAGACCTTGTACTCAGCACTCTTCCCGTGGCATCCATTTCCAGAGTGTGAAGAGGGGTCTCGCAGTGGCTGGTGAATCCCCAGGCAGCAGCAGCCTCTGGGCTGTCATGACAACCACAGGGCTATGGCCACAGGCTCTGGACGCTTGCACACACTGCATGGCTGTTGGGTTTGTGACTAATCCCTTATCATCAGCTGATTCTTGCCCTCTGCCAATGCTTCTTCTGGTTCAGAAAACATGGCGAGAAATTTCTACCAGGCAGCTCATTTGTATTGTTGACTTAATGGTACTTTTCTGACTAGTGGAACCAGATTATTCTACAAAAGAAGGCATCAATTGACCATTTTATCAATGGCCTAAAAATATAATACCATCTTTTATCTCTTTAATTTCAGTTGTGGTCCCGAAACCATTTATTTTCTGGGCTCAGGACACTACTCCAGTGGTGACAGAGAACCTGAACAGCAATATCCCAAGGATGTCAGCATCTCAGTGCAGTGTGACTGCAATACAAATTACTTTTGGACTTAGGCTTTGGCTATTCAGGGGAAGAGACTCTCCATCTCAATCTCCATCTCCATAATACCTTCACAGAGTTTATCAGCAAAGATTTTCCAGAGTGTGGACAACCTAGGTAATCTCTGCTGTTTGAATCATTCATGTTTGTCAAGTATTTCTCGCTGTGATAAGTTTTCAGTGTAATTGGTAGGTAGAATCATTCATATTCAGAGTGGTGGTGTCGCTGTTGGTTAGACAGCCGTCATAAAAGAATAGATACAAAATACATAAAAAGTGGGTGAAAAAACAGAAAGAAAGAAAGAAGGACTTTATTGTGGGACGAGCTTCTTTTATCCACTTTAGCAACCAGTGCATACATTTGTGTCAAACATACATTGGTCAGTGAGGCTGTCACTTTCTACTCAACAGCATAGGATTGGTAGGTTTGCAAAAGCTACAGTATTAGTAATGTTTATAATTGTAAGCTATGTGCATTATCAATTCTACATTTCAATCTTCTTTTTTTCAAAATAACTAAAAACATAACATTTTATTCCCATACAAACTATTAACACTCCCTACATGGTGGTAGCAGAATTATATCCAAACAGAATAAATGCTGATCCTTGCTTGCCACAATACCATGCAGTTTCAAGATGCTGCTTAATTAGAGAGAGGGGGATGAAGAGTTCTGTGGTCCTCCACTGGCACATCAGGGGTGTGAGCAGCCCCTGCCCCCCTAGTCCACATCTCAGCATCGCCGAGAGCAGCAGTGCCTGCACCAGTGAAACCCTCGGAGCAGCTGCAGGAGCTGCAGCCCCGCTCACAGACTCTGGGCAGCTCATGGTCTCCCTCTCCTGGAGCGAGACTGATGGAAAGGCAGCTGCTGGGGCTGATCGTCATCTGCCAGCTTCTTCAGAACGGAAGATYGTGAATTCAGCACTGAATAAAATCTTTCTTATTACACTCACACTACTGTTATGTATTTGAGCTTTCAGGTTAAGCAGTTAGAGAGCAAAGAGTAGTGAAGAAATAGTTAAAAGACAGCAAATCTCCTGGGGCTTCAGAGCTAAGGGACTTTCCTCGACTCTTTGCAGTGATTCATTTATTAGCTGCTGGGAAACAGCAATAATAATAACAGCGATGTGCCAGTATTTATTAGAACTTGTCTCTTCCCCACGAATTGGGGCTGGCAAAGCCACACAGAGACTCTGCAGGTCCATGAGGGGCTGACAGCAGTGATGGGAGCCCCGCAACCTGCAGCATTGCAACAGACTACTTGGGTGTGATGGGGGGCAACTTAAAACACTGTAAACAAGTTTTACATCAGATACGGTTTCTGTGACTTAATTTCCATGGGAAGCGTGTGCTTTGACCCCTGTGCCTATAGAGGTCCCCCTTCCTCCGTGGGCCATGGCACCCACATTTCCCTCAGCTGCGACTTTAGCGAGCAGTCAGGGATTCTGGTTTTCAGAAAGATCAACCCTGGCCATCCGCAGCTGGGACCTGTCTCAGCTCCCCAGGACCACGCGTATCCTCAGCATTCACATGGCATCCAGTATGTTTTATCCGACTTTGTAAGGTCAACATTAATATGACATACAGGGGAGACTTTGTAAAAAAATGCAGCTGAGAGAAATGGCAATAATTTCTTTTTCTTTTGCAAAAGCATGTTTCAGAAGTAATTCCTCCAGTTTTTGGCTGTGCCAATAGTGTCGGGGCACATGTACTTGTATAGATGCCTGCAGTCGTGATTTTCCTACTTGTCCAGACAAAGGCATGAGTCTGAGACTGCACCCGCTCCCTCCTGTCAGAACAGCAAATTTTCTTTTACATAGAAAAAAAAAATAAAAAGGACAGCAAAAGGACAGGAATGGTGCTTCAGCTATAAAATCAGGGCACAAATTGTTAAGTGTCCAGACTCGATAACAGAGAGATGCCCTCATGTACCATAATGCAGTCGCATTCTGAACATCCTGTTGTTATTGCAGTAGTTCATGTTTCCCGGCACAACAACACAAACTTGGAGAATTCCCACATATTGTAATATGAGACTAAGCACCACRTTAAATTGTTGTTCTTCATGTGACTTGCTCTCTAGATTCTTCACCAGCTTCATTGYCCTTCTCTGGACACACTCTAGCACCTCAATGCCTCAATGTTTTCTGTAAAATGTGGACTGTAAAGAAGGTTAGAATACAACTCTGCTAATACAGATAAATGATGTCAAAACTAGAGGGTGCAAGTCATTAGCCCCACTGATCCTGGTGAAGTTACGTCTACTTCTGCATTTGTTATCATGTTATGTCAATGCTATTAATATGCACAAACAGTAAATGCTGATCTCCTGCTCTCAGAAGAGGCTGATTTTTTTTTTCTCCCATCAGCAAGTGAGTTTGTCAAGGTCATGATTCATTTAATTCTTCAGCAATGACTCGTTTCAGAATGTGACCAAACCACTCTCCATCTGCTGGTTAATAGTTAACAGTTTATTTCAAGTATCTGATAAATTCTGGGCCAGACCTCCTGAAAACATCTGAGTTAATGTTTATCTTAGCAGGGTGAAAATATGAACCACTTATTTCTGTAGCCTCTTGTGATTTGATTTCATTTTTTGCATGAAACAAATGGGGCACAAGTAGTCACCTATCTTGCTAGGGAGACAATAAAAGCTGATCAGAAAAATCTCTCAGAAAGAGAAGACCAGACAGGAGRAAGCTACAAGGACCAGAATCATAATTTACCACTGCTAATCAGATAGTTTAAGATCAAACATCTACCCTCACCTAACTTTTGATCAATTTATTCAGATTTYGCAAAAAGCTTTCCATTCTAAAATCTCTAACTACTATCTCTGTATTTCTTTCCTCAAATCCAGTAGAGATGATACTACTTCTGAAATCCTCATTACTTCATTTTTTTTCCAGCTACCTGAATCATGTCAATGTTTTATGATCCTTCCAGCTGGTAATCAAGAAGCAAGAGAGCACCTACAGCTTGAAAATAAAACCTTGAACAGTTGTTAGCCTTCATGTGAGTCATGTGGGTCTAGTACATTTATATTAGAGCATGTGGCAGCCAGAATCTGGGAGACCTTTGCAGCCCTTTTCTGCAGTCATCTCCTACYCTGACTGCACCTCAAATTCTCAGTCCCATAGAAGGGACAAATGAGCCATCATTTTTATCTCCTGAAATGCCACAACTGTTAAGTTAATGTTTTAAGACAAGCTGACCCAAGTTTCAGTTTATGATTAAATGTAACTTCGGCACTTTGGGGGCTGTGTCATAAAACCATTCTGTTCACAGAAGTGATGAGGGCTCAAGAGAGAAA